TACTAGGGGTTCCTGGCCTTGCTACTGGAGGAGCAAGGACGCTACTACAGGCTCCTGGCCTTGCTACTAGGAGCAAGGACGCTACTAGGGGCTCCTGGCCTTACTACTAGGACGCTGCTAGGGGCTCCTGGCCTTACTACTCCCATAACTTGCGCGACGAGTCTGGCGCTTCCCTCACCCCTTCACCGTGTTGGTGGGCAGCGGGGAATGTGGTGAAATGTCGTTGTGAAGGACGAACTAAAAAGGGGGTACTGCACAAACATTCCTAGAGTCAGCTACAAACGTGAGACCGAATGTCCGCTGGCCTTACTACTAGGAGCAAGGACGCTACTAGGGGCTCCGGGCCTTACTGCAAGGACGCTTTCAATCCGTTTCAGACCTGCATAGTTTGAGCATCACTGCTCTTGTGTCTGGCAAGGGTGCAACGTCCCGCAGGGCTCCCAAAGGAGGCCCACCTAAGGGCGAACCGCGACGAACCTACTGAAACGGTATGAAACGTCTTGCGGTTTTGTGAGGAGTAGTTAAACTGAAGCATCCCGTCTATCAAGAGAGGACCCTAAGTAGAAAGAGTGCCATTGCTATTAGGTTGGAGGCCATCGCTATTAGGTTGGAGGCCATTGCTAGTAATTTGGTTGGAGGCCATCGCTAGTAGAAACAGATAAAAAGGAAAAGGAAGAACAAATCATTGTTTGTTCTTCTTCTTCTCCTGCTCCTTCTTCTTTTTCATTGTATGGGGTTTTCCAAGGTGGGCAGGCTGTGGGGAAGAGTAAGACTGAGTAAGCAAGTTAAGTAGTGGAAAGAAGCTACATAGAGGTTCTTAGATTATGAGTGAAATGACATAAGATGCATCTATTTTTGTATTCTGTCTTTCTTTCTTCCTGTCCTTTTTTAGTCAAGTACACTTCCTAAAGCGAGCCTAGCGTGGTTTAGCTGAAGTTGGCAAGGCACAGCTCGGTGTTGAACAATCTTCATATGTCATATCCAACTGCCACAGGTCATCGATACCAAAGCTTCAAAACTCATGTTCGGTGATTGTTTGATTCAACGTGGGAACAAACTCTCTAATTCCAAAGCAAATAGGATACTCCGAGCAATGCTGTGAGGCGGATTCAGACAGGATGGACGGAAATCCCGGAAAGGCCTTGGCGGGCCGGATGGGGAATTTATAATCACAAGCGCAAATAGCAAGTTACAATTTGTTCAATGTTTTTCATATGAGACAGCCTATCTTACAATGTTGAGAGCAAGGTTGCAAGGACTTACTCTTCCACACACCAAAGAAGTTCTCGGGCCAGGTGGCAGTCACAATGACTGTGCCCGGTCGGTCAGGGGCTGCCTTGTACTTTGTCGGAGGCTTGGAGCCGTCGTTTTTGGTGAAAGGAGCAAAGGGCATCGCTACTAGAAGCGATCGGACGCTACTAGTGGCTCCTGGCCTTACTACTAGGAGCAAGAAGCTATTAAAAATAACTAGAATTAGGTTTAATTAGAATTTAATTAGAAAAAGCAACTACTAGGGGCTCCTGGCATCGCTACTAGTAACAAGGACGCTACTAGGAGCAAACTTAACGGCTTGAGAAGTGCCATCTCACGACTGAACCGAGGTAGCAGGCTTGCTCATAGCCTCCCTGGTTGTGAACGCTGCACTTTACAGCGAAACCCATGGTGCCTGGGCTGCTTCGAGCAGTGCAGAGGGGTCTTGTGGGATGCCAAACTTTGTGTTTCATATTTTGGAGCCATCCGGTTTTGACTCAGGAATGGCTGTGCGTGAGCAGGCAGCTGTCGAGCAAATGAGGACTCGGTTTCTGGCTGGAAAGCTTTTTCATATGTGATTGTTTTATTGTTTTGAATCTAGGTTGGAGGCCATCGCTAGTAGGTTGGAGGGCCATCGCTAGTAGGTTGGAGGCCATCGCTAGTAGGTTGGAGGCCATCGCTAGTAGGTTGGAGGCCATCGCTAGTAGGTTGGAGGGCCATCGCTTCTAGGTTGGAGGCCATCACTAGTAGGTTGGAGGGCCATCGCTTCTAGGTTGGAGGCCATCGCTAGTATAGGTTGGAGGGCCATCGCTTCTAGGTTGGAGGCCATCGCTAGTAGGTTGGAGGGCCATCGCTTCTAGGTTGGAGGCCATCGCTACTAAGGTGGCTAGATAGACAGACATCATTCATCTGTCATCCATAAGTTGGTAATTCCGTCAGACTGCCATACAAAAGCGAGTCCAGATTGATTCACCCGCTGTAAACAGTCTTGGACATTACAATCCTAAGACTTCATTTTTTTAAAAAGAGACGGAAAGGAACTTTATCTATATCATATGATTACAATGTGTAGTCTGTATATTACATACACCATTTGTGTGTTTGAGATTCCATATTTTGCACTCTTCATTATCTACTTCACCATTTACTACAAGGGAACTCCTCTGTGCGCTTTTGTGTGTTCAGCCACATTATTGCAGGAGTGCAAACTTGCAAGATGCCCGTGACACTGATGGTACTGCCCCAAAAAGATGCCTTTCTCTCTATTCTTTTCAGTTCCTGTTTCCATATAGTTTTCCAGTTGCTCGAATATTTTCGTTTGTGGCTGACAAGTTTGCAGTTTTGCAGATTGAACTGGCAAGGCTCAAAGACGGAATGCCAGTGATTGTCGGGAATGCATGAGATGTCAATGATGACACCAGTGGTGACTGTTGAGTGGCTTCGAGGAATCAAATAATAAATATTCGTTATAGGGATGAGGCAGCATTTTCAAGCAAGCTGGACTCTTCACTCCTTCCGGTGGCTTTCAGGTGACGGAGTGCCAGACCAGGATGATTTTTGCCCTGGGAAGCGTCCAAAGCCTGGTGAGCGCGCAGGCTGCCTGGTGCTCACAGATCATCCCCATTTTCACTGTTAGTGATGGCCTCCAACCTACTAGCGTTGGCTTGAAATTCTTGTGATCTGTTGGAAGGTTCGTTTGTGAATGAAACAACTGCAAATGGCTGCAGTTTGGATCTCGGGACGGGCCTCCGACTTCGACGGTGACGGGTGCGAGGACCCCGTGACGGCGCGTTTTGGACCTGGTCTAACTGTGTTTGAAGCTTCACACCGGAAAGACACCGAAGGAAACCGCTTCTTTTCCTCTTTCAATGCGGCACTGCAAACAGCTCTGACTTCGACTCTGAAGGACGGTGTGGAGGACCAGGATAGAGACAATGATGGAATTGAAGACAAAGTCGATAGGCCAGGGAACAAAAGGTTGATCATTGATCCCTGGATTGAGCTATTCAGCTGGTTGTTGAATTGTTTGATGCTTTCATCTTCTTTGTTTTGTCAATATAGTGTTTGCTTTTGGCTTCTTGCTTCTTGGTATCAAATATCTAACATCAGCAACCTTACAGCACTCCAGCACTTTGCTTTGAGGTGTCCCTTCTCACCCAAGCAGTACAACTTCGTGCCAGGGAACCCGGCTGAAAAGAACCGTCGTGGACGGGGCATATCCAGCGGTTCCACGTCACGGTCCGTGTAGGAGGAGATTCCTTTAGGAGGAGGGTGGAGGCCATCGCTATTGGAAACAAAGAAAAAGAAAAGGATGAACGGTTAGTTAACGGTTAGTTTGCTATTAATTAGGTTTTGGCCATAGAATCATTCATCAAAGAGATAGGCGAGACTGGTAGGCTGAGATGCCAGGTGCCAGACTATGCAAAGAGAACTACGCTGTTGCCATGTTAAAAAAAACTTTACTTCGAGTGATCCCCACCACATTTCAATCTGACAAAATTTCTGGCGTGTATTGAAACATTATATATAAATAGAAACAATAAGCTACTAGTAACAAGTGCCTTACTAGTAGTAACACTGTTTGCTAGTAGAAACAATGGTTATATATTTTTTCACATTCTTTCTGGCGTTCTATCTGGCATATCTTCTGACTTGCGGTTGAGGTGTGGGGAACGGGGAACACTGCCATCCGGAGCTGGCGGTTGAGGTCCGGAGGAGGCGGAGGGACATAAAACTCTAACAGCCTAACAGCCCTCACCTGACAGGTGGAGAACAAAGTTTCCACAACTTTAGAACAGGTCGCTCAAGCCCAACGCAGCTTTTCTACGACTGCAGCAAGGTATTAAATGCCTAGCTTTCGTCCCCCTTGGGACTCTTCAGGGCTTTGCAGCCGCAAATGCTGCGGTGATCAATCACATGCCTAGGCATCGTGCATTCAATAACCTAGGCAAGTGCAAACTGGACATGCAAACAAAATTCGAGTAGAAGCCAAGCCAAGGCTGAGCCGTAGCCCGCGTCCTTAGCTAGTAGCTTCCTTGCTGTTACTTATACTCCTTACTTGTTGGCTTTGGAGTCAGCACAATATTAGCATGTTCGCACTGAGAGCTGCCGAAAGTTGGATGAACTTGCAAATGCCTTTGGACGCCGTTGGGATGAACTTGGTTGATAATCATGTTGCCAAGAGTGTCAAAGGCAATTATTTGGAAATGTTTTTCCTTGTCAACACCTGCAAATGGATAAGTGCGTGTGTTCATGACAAGCACTCATGATGTCCATCCAAGACGACATGCACAAATAGAGAGGTGTATGTACCACACCGGAAGGCCGCTTTGTGTCAAACGAAAAGAGTCCGCATGGTAGCGGGGCCTGGGAAGCGCACCTAGAGGTGAGTGGAGGCTCCTACTTCTTAGCCTCACCACGGCCTCCCCCTACCTCCGCCCGCCAGCTTATAAGATGCAGCCCAGCGGCCAGCGGCCAATAATGTTCCAAGGTCCGATTCCGTCAATGACTTTGATGGTGACGGCTGCAAAGACGGCGTAGAGGACTCGGCGCAAGTTGGAGTACAACGAGCAGAGATGTGCGGAGTAAAGTGTGAAGTCTGATGTTTTGCCGTAGTCAAGTTGCACAAAGAACATGTTTGTCGCCAGGACCAGGATGACGATGGCGACGGTGTTCCGAACGACGAAGATGCTTGCAAGAGGAGAGCAAAATGTTCAACATCTTTCAACATTGCATGCCAAAGATTGACCACGTCAGTTGAAAAACAGTTGCAACGTAGTCTGCTTTGCTAATTTGTGTCTTCTCTTTCTGTCTCTTTCAACTTGTGGTTTTTCCTCGTGTTGTTGGTGTGGTTGTCGTTACACTGGTTGTGGTCTGCTATCATTTCTGCCACTGCAGCTCCAGCTGGCTTGCTTTGTCCCTCCTTCCTTTGGAGTATGTGTTAGGGAAAGGCCATCGCTAGTAGGTTGGAAGCAATCGCTATTAGGTTAGAGGCCATCGCTCTTAGGTTAGAGGCCATCGCTAGGTTGGAGGCCATCGCTTTTAGGCTGGAGGCCATCGCTATCAGGTTGGAGGCCATCGCTAGGTTGGAGGCCATCACTCTTAGGCTGGAGGCCATCGCTATCAGGTTGGAGGCCATCGCTAGGTTGGAGGCCATCGCTCCCTAATACAAAATCGCTTTGGGCAGAGATGGGCAGAGTGAGGAATAATTCCTTCAGGTAGTGGATTGCTGGGGCAATTGTCCACGAACAACCGTGCAATAATTGTTCACAATTTTTTCGCTGGGTTTGAGGCTATTGTTGAAATGCTCAATGTCCTTGAACTGAACAAGTGAAGTGAACAAGAACAGTAGGACATAGTCAGAACATGTCAGAACATTTGTACCGCTTTCGAATGCTCTTCGGAGCATTGTTAGGACTCGTCCTGGTGAGTCTTCAGACATAAGCGGATGCTCCAAGGAGCAGCACAGGTGAGGTGTGACACGTTCGAGAAGACAAAACATGGCCTCCAACCTACTAGCAATGTCATCTTTATGTAAACAGGTGACACACCTTGAAAACGTTGGCCCACACGGTGTACCTCCCACACGACTCAATATTTACTCGTTCGCTTGACTCGAGCTTTCTTCGGTTTGGATGTCGAGACCCTTCGGCCTTACTAGTAGCTTCTTGTTTCTAATAGCTTCTTGTTACTACTAGTAAGGCACCTGTTACTACTAGCGTGGCACTTGTTCCTAGTAGCTTCTTGTTTCTAGTAGTAAGGCACTTGTTACTAGAAGCGATGCACTTGTTACTAGTAGCTTCTTGTTACTACTAGTAAGGCCCTTGTTACTAGTAGCTTCTTTCTGCTGAATTGCTCAAGTCATGGAAGATCTTTGTTAGTCCTGTTAATAGTAGGGTTCTTGTGGGCAAGAGATTCAGCTGGTTCACCCAAGCCCTTGGGCCTTCACGGAAGTGTCTTAAACCAGGAAGAACGAAGGGAAATGAAAGGAAGCAAGTGATTCAGAGGTGTCTTTGAATATGCATTCTTCTCTCACTTCACTCCAAGCCATTTTAGGGGGTCCCTTTGTTAAGTCCCTTTGTTAAGTTTCTTCCCAGAACCATTTGCCTCACGGCGTGACATGGTGCACCTGAAACGCAGGGACTTGGAGTTGGCTCGAGAGCAGGACGGAGTCGGACGGAGGGGTGTTGGGGCGAGTTGAAACAATGATGACGTATTTTGAGAGTTGTCATTCAATGATGCATCATGATGATTCAATGATCGGTTCCACGATTTGGGTTTGTAGCAATTCTGGAATCACTGAAAGCCACAGATTCACTTAGTGTAGCACTTGGGACAAGTTTAGGTCACCAAGACCCTTTAGTTCTTTTTTTGTGTTTTTGTTCTTTTCTTTCTTCTTCTCTTTTTTGCTTCAAACCGATCAGGATTTGTTTGCCGACTTTCGGCTGCTCCAAGGCCGAACAGTCACCACCGTCAGCACCATCGGTGCCTTCTGTGATCTCTGAGTGAGGATCCCAAACGGAAGCAGGGAAGTGAAAGGAAATGGAAAAAGGAAAAACGAGTGAAACGAGGAAAAGGAAATTAAAGGAGGAACACAGACATTTCTCAGAGAATGACAGAGAGGATGTCAGACAGAGCTTAAATCGATCGCTTTGTGGATGGAGGTCTTCGCTTGTAAAGGGGTAGCGATCAGTTTAGGCTACTAGGAGCAAAGGGCATCGCTACTAGGAACAAGGACGCTACTAGGGGCTCCTGGCATCGCTACTAGCAGCATGGACGCCATTAGGAGCAAAGGGCATCGCTACTAGTAGCATTCTTACTACTAGGAACAAGGGCATCGCTATTAGGAACAAGAAGGCTACTAGGAGCAAGTTCAAGTCTTGGAGTCTCGGACAGCGATGCCCTTTGCTCCTAATAGCGTCCATGCTCCTAGTGGCGATGCCAGGAGCCCCTCGTAGCGAACCTTGCTTGTTCCTAGTAGCGATGTCCTTTGCTCCTAGTAGCGATGGCCTCCCTTCTCGGATGTTTTTCTCGAACTTGTTTCTGTTTTGTTGCGCACCTTGCCCCTCAAGTGAATCGGTTTTCTCCGCAAGGTGGGTGGGTGTGCTCAGGACCGGAATGTTGAAAAGGTCGCGAGTCATGAGTCATCAGTTTCCTGAGCCTTTACTACGGTAGTCGTCTCATGCTTGAAAGGATTTTGGATTCTTCAGCTACTTTTGATCTCTCATTACCGAATTATATACCCCTTGTACTAGCAAGAAGGGTTTTCAGGCGTCCACTCTAGGACTCAACTAAGCCTTGCAGCCTTGCAAAGCAAATCCTTCTTCCAGCACCACAGGGGCTGAGTCGACGTGTATATGGCCAACTTGTTCACTGGGAGGGAATTTAAGCTTTGTACTGATACCACACGTAATGGAGTTCACATGGAGGGCTCGCTCTTGTGCCTTGCAAGGAGTGCTTGGCTGGAGGCGCATGGATTGAAGCCAAGCTGGTCAAAGTCGGTCTCAGTCTTCCTGAGTATTTTGTGAAGAATTGTTCAAACATCCGAAGGCAAACATGACGAAGGCAAACATGCGAAGTTATTTTGCTCATTCCGTGTGATTCATGTTTGTGGTCCCGCAAGAAGGCTTGTTTGAGGGCGTTTTGAATTCTGCCACAATGGCGATCCCGTGATGCACAAAGATTCTTGACATGTCTCCGTAACCCAAAAAAGGAATCGGAAAACAGAGCTTCCTGAAGGTGCTTTTGGGTGCTTTGATCACACCCATTCTCACCACCGCGAAGGCCTATGCGAAAGCAAAGAACTGACGAGACGCCCACATTTCTTCATACTATTCCACATGGCGACATGTCCGTCTCTAACGTTCCTCATGAAGGTGGTGTGTTGAAGAAAACGACAAGTCAGACAAGACACAACGGTGCCACAACGGTTGGAGGCCATCGCTAGCAGGTTCGAGGCCATTCCTATTACTCAAAAGAAGATTGAAGGTGTAAACGGAAGGTGCCACAAGTGTGTCTTCGCCACAGGAGCTGTTGGAATGGTTGAGGGGGCTCCTCGGCTCTGAGCTATGCATACGCACAATCAGAGTCAAAATAGAAAACGTATAGTATAAACAACCAAAGGTTCTGAGATGTTCTGAGGTTCAAACGTTGTCTGGGAGCCTTTTGACATGTCTTTACGGTGAATGATTCACATGACTCACATGACTATTGAATGTATTTATATAATTGTATTTATAGTTACACATACTGGAAAGACGGGCCCGCGACAAGCGAAGTTCTCCAAGACGATGGATGGAGTACAACGATACCTTTGGGTATAATAGCGTCCTTGCTCCTAGTAGCGATGCCAGGAGCCCCTAGTAGCGAACATTGTTCCTAGTAGTATGGCCAGGAGCCCCTAATAGCGTCCTTGCTCCTAGTAGCGATGCCGGAGCCCCTAGTAGCGAACATTGTTCCTAGTAGCGATGCCAGGGGCCCCTAGTAGCGTCCTTGCTCCTAGTAGCGATGCCAGGAGCCCCTAATAGCGTCCTTCCTCCTATGCAAACCACAAACAAGCCCAGCATTGGATGTTTGGGCGGAGTTGATGAACATGCTACAATCCAAGGAGGATGGCAGCAGCGGCATCGCCTCCTTCAAAGGAAAAGGCGTGTTGAGCTGTCTTCCCCAGTCTGGTCAATGATACCCAAGACCATGAAAGGATGATGAAAGTCTATTCCGAATCCTTCCCCAGTTATTTAGTATTCTTCCGCAACTGCTCTTCGGAAACTAGTCTTCAGAACCTATGTGATCTTCAGAAACTGTTTTGCGTGCAGAAAGTATTCTTCAGAAACTCCACATTGCATCCAGATTACATGAATGGGCTAGGATGTGCGGCTGGGTCTGGGTGGTGGCGGGCGGGCGAGTGGGTGGGTTGGGCGGGCTTATTGACTAGTTGCCGAAGATCAACTTCTGGATTGCTCTGCGATCTCTTTGATTCCCAGTATCCCACAGATTCTAGATGCTGTGGGAATTTCATGATCACCATCATGTTCGCAAAAGATCACAACATTCGTGAGGCTTCGACGAAAGGCAGAGCGCTGCAGCGTCTTGGGAGCAAGCAATGGTGCTTGCAACAAGCGATTTGTCTTGCCTCCAACCTACTAGCGATGTTGATTCTTTTTCGTCCAACACAGTCTGATTAACTCCTGCCGTGTGACGCGAGCAATCTGCCGAACACCACTGTGGAACTACAGCAAGCTGGAGCCCCTAGTAGCGTCCTTGCACCTAGTAGCGATGCCAGACTGCGCACTCGATCGGGTCCTCTCAGGTCACTGCTACTTCGTGCGTTGCTTTACATCCTCTTTTTCTGTGGCGTGGGGTTGCTCAGCCGAGAAAAAATGTTCGGGGTAGGACAAGACGCCGGAAGAAGAAAGATAAAGCGATCTGAAAAGAAGAGACAAAGATACAAAGTAACATTGTTTAATCTAAGACAAACTCTTTAGACTCCCGGCATGCTTCTTTGCCTAACTAGCCTTTGGGGCCTTTACTGATATGCATGATACGGAAAGTTAACCGTGGGACCTCTCCTTTTTTTAAAGTTTCCCTTTGAGGTAAGCTGGCAGCACCCGGGTCGCAATAGAACCCTTGCTGTAAGAAAGAGGCTTAGGCATAATTGACAACTTACTAGAATGCCTTCCAAGAAGCATGCAACAGTTGCAAAGTTCTTTAGCAACGAAGATCCTCAAAAATGCTGTGTGTCAGGTCTACGCTTGGCGGAGCTTCGGTGGCGCCCTTGTAGCATAGAGAGGTTTGCGGTTCTCGGACTGAGACAGCTGAGACTTTGGACTGAGAAGCTCGGCGAAGAAGGAGACATTTGAGAAGTTCCTAGTTTAGTAGCGATGCCAGGAGGCCTTAGTAGCGTTCTTGTTCCTAGCAGCGATGCCAGGAGAAGAGATACATGAAAGGAAGAACATAGTTCGCACTTTGATGCAGCTCCAGCAGGAGGGAAGGTTTGTTTTGATGCCTCACCAGAGAGACACCTTCATCGCTGAGATAACAGATGTTTGATTGCTTCAGGGTGGATGATAACTGCCTCTCGAAGTGGAGAATGCCTTGTCTCATGCACAACCTAATTGCAATGGCCTCCAACCCAATAGGAATGGCCTCCAACCAATTGCGATATGCATTTTGCCATTTCTGAGCGCAGTTTGACCACATCGTCTTGGGGCCCTGATTGACTGTAGAGCCCCCGAAAGGCGCCCGGATCCCGGCACACGGCCGTGTTCCCCCGAGCCGCCCTGGTCGGTCGGCGCCCATGTTTTGAAGGAAGTTTCTTCCACATACTGAGCCATAGAGCTCACATACTCTGGAGCTGGGTGTGCGGATAGATCTGAAATAGAAGTCTTTTACAGAACTTGTAAGTTGCAAGCGGTGCGCAAGGCCATCGCTAGTAGGTTGGAGGCCATGTAGGCTAAGTCGCAGGTAGGCTAAGTCGGTTCGCGTGCGTTGTTTTGTTAAGGGGTACCCTTTCGCGCCCGCGCAGGAAAAACGGTAAAAAAGGAAAACATCGATGTTTACCGTTTTTACCGCGGATATGGTAGAAAAAAGGGGCGACTCTCCGTTAAAAACGGCAAAAAAAGACGCAATCTATTATTTTCTCGTTTACCGCGCGGATGCCTTGGGAACAGGTCGAAGCTAGAAGAGCTCTTTGTAAACAAAAGGTTTAATGTTGACCTCTGATTAATACACGGGGGGTATCACTTTGTGAAAGTTTTTCAACCCTAAATAAAGTGTATCCCAGATTCAAGAATAATAGTTTATTAGAGACATGCAATGACCTCTTACTAAAAACATTCAAACGAAAAGCAGGAACAAATTTCATAGAACAATAATAGAATCATCCCTGATTAAGCCAATATTAAAATAGAAGGGATTTAGTGTTTTAGTGTTTAAATCAGAAATCGATAGATAGAATCAACTTCAAATTGGATTCACATAGAAGTGCATAGCAATGGAACTAGAATAGAATTAGAACTGAATTTCAATTAGATAAACAATTGAAATGGATTTGAATTGGAATTGTTTATTCGACATAAACAAATGTTTGGTCGCTCTTTGAACGCATGGCCATGGTGTGCCACAGAGCACAGACGAAGGTTGATCCTCTACACAGGAATAGTTTTCATTTTTTGATCCCAAAACCGTTCACATATGTTAGATTATGTTAGCATGACTTGCAGCAGTTCAATTCTGAAAGGCTGTTGTCGCGTCCCGAAATGAGTGCTGCACAACTACAAGCTGTGAGTGGTCCAGTCCACCGTCAGGATTCACCATTCGAGTCTACGCAGACTCCTTTCATGCAAAGTCTCCCAGAGGCTATGAATCGATGTGACTACCCATTCATCCATTCTATCAGATTTGCTTGGTCATGCTTTTGCAGCACTGGCTTATTGGGTGAAAGCTGTTGCCTGGGAGCGCAGAAGGCAAAAAAGGGGCATCCCCCAGACAAAAAGGTAAAGAAATAAAAAATTGACTTTTACCCTTTTTCACCGCGGATGTGGTAGAAGACCCCCCCGGTACAAAAAGGTAAAGCAAGAAAAAGCTGATGTTTATCGTATTTACCGCGAGGATGCCTCGGGGGAACCCGTAACTCGAGCAACACCGCTAAACCAGCACAGCTAGTAGGTTGGAGGCCATTGCTGGTAGGTTGGAGGCCATCGCAATTAGGTTGGAGGCCATTGCTATTAGGTTGGAGGCCATCGCAATTAGGTTGGAGGCCATCGCAATTAGGTTGGAGGCCATCGCTATTTAGGTTGGAGGCCATCGCTATTAGGTTGGAGGCCATCGCTACTATTAGGTTAGAGGCCATCGCTATTAGGTTGGAGGCCATCGCTATTAGGTTAGAGGCCATCGCTATGAGGTTGGAGGCCATCGCTATTAGGTTGGAGGCCTTCGCTATGAGGTTGGAGGCCATCGCTATGAGGTTGGAGGAAACCGCAATGAGGTTGAAGGCCATCGCAACGAGGTGGGAGGCCTTTTCATTCTTTTACCTTCAGCTCACATTTCGGCACCCAAATCCAAGAGCGTCGAAGAAGGAGGAAGGTGTTTTCCCGTTTGTACAGGCCATGAGCACAGCTCACCTCACTTTTCGACATCTTTAAGAGGTGGCTAAATGTCACCTACCAAATGCCTTTTCGATCGATCGCACAGCTCCGTGCAGGCCCCACTGAAAAGGCACTTGGTGAACTTGGTCAGGTGATTTGTTCTGACATGCGTCGCAGTGCGTCGCAGTGTTTATCCCCTTTCTTTCTCTTGTTTCTTCTCCAGACCTTTTCTTTCTCTTTTTTTCACCGTTTTTATCCTTTTTTGACCTTCTTTCTTTCCTTTCACATGACTGTTCTGAAGTTTGTTTTGGAAGACTGTCACGTGTGTCAAGTCACCGATCCAGAGCCGGTCATGAGCGCCGGAAGGCACGGAGACCTTGGAAATCCAATCCACCTTGCATCGCTCCAAATACCCCCCCAAACTCAGAAATATGAGGTGGGGGTGTAGGTAGCCAACATGGAGTGCGGATAGAGGAGAAGAGGTAACCAATTTGTAGCTATTAAGTAGGACGCAACTGGACGCAGGATAGCTCACACTTCTTCAAGGAAGCTCACCTGAGGGCGGGGGGCGCACTAATGATTTAGTCTCTAGATTTTAGGGACACTTAATATATGCAGTTCTATCAATATCAATTTAGTAGATAATTATTACAAATATATAATATATATGTGCAGTATATTACATATATGTCCAAAAGACTTTTGGTTTGATTATGGAGCGGCAAAGTCGATTGGCAAATCTCAAAGTTGCTGCGCGAAACGCAAACAGTACAAATGCAGGAAAATGTAAAGCGTGTCTGTTTTGTTTTCTCCTTCGGACGTTTAGACCCGTTCTTCTCTTTTTCCTTTCTTCATGAGCAGCATGTCTTCGACCTTTTTTCACCGTCAGGGGACTGTCTCCAAGACCTACCAGTTTGGTCTGTCCAAAAAAGAAAAACCGGAGTCTTGAAAGATGCTTGAACACGTAAGCCGGTTGTTGGCCCTACAGATTCTCCACTTGGGTTTAGGCCGAAGAATGACGAGAGTGACGCTCTGTAGCTGTGTCAAGCACCGTGCATCACGAGCACAGATCCACAGACACAACTGTTTTTTGTAAATCAAAAGGCTTCCTCAATGACTGAGCAGTTGGACTCAAGAAGGTTTTTTTTTGGGGGGGTCGAACTCTGGCAGATCAGCATCACAAGGGGCAGTTCAGTTCGAGATGAATTGACTTCCCCGAAAAACTCCTTAACCACCACCTCAGCAAGTATTCTGCAGGTGTTTAATCTAATTGAATCATGGCTGCAATGAACGGCGGCCGCATGGGTCTGGGTATGTCTTCAGAGGCCACTAGAGCGCAACGAAAAGGAAACACGGACAGGGAAACATGAGGAAACTGAGCAGACAAAAAAGTGCACAGGGCAGTTGACAGGCGAATCATTTGAGAAATTATTGTCTGTAGCATTATGTAGCATTTGACATTTTTGACATCTGAGCTAGTTGATGCTAGACATGATGCTACAATGGCAGTTGAGCCAATGCACACGCAGCACACAGGCTGAGGAGCTCCTGCAACTCCTTCAGCAGGCACCGCTGAGATTGCTGCTGTGTCGGTGGTGTCTTCTCAGTCTGGTGATTTTGTGAAATTCAATATCAAATAGGACGTCAGAACTGTGACTAGGCACAAGAACGCTACTAGGGGCTCCTGGCATCGCTACTAGGAGCAAGAAC